GGTTCCGTGCCGTCCCGACCAAGGGTACATGGGACGTGACGCGGATCCGCGACAGCAAGTACTTCTTCTGTTAAGGCGGGAACGCCCTGGAACGCTCGGGCGCATTTGCCTAGGCCGGGGTCAGTTCGCGCGGGCCACGGCTGTCTCTGCTTATGGCGCTCTGGCATGGAGCTTGGTCTCGGTAGGACCGTGTCCTGTCCTGATCCTTCTCCGGATGTCGTCGCCTCTTGTACATTTATTGACCTTCTGGTGATCTCATATTTCCGGGTTTCTACAATACGTTCACCCGGTTGGGATCTTCTCTCTCACTTTTTTTTTTAATACCTGGTTCTGGTTGTTTCTAGCATGGTTATACTGCATGGGATTGGGATGCATGACTGAACGTGTACAGTGTTGTTTCAAGTTGTTTTGATATCATTGTGTTGGCATAAAAAATGGGGAACTGGTGTATATAGTCGGGATGGAATTTATTGACCACATTGTATATATGAAGTATACTAATGCACAGAAGTGAATGTGAATGACCTTGTGAGCAACGTAAAACCTCCCATTGGACGTGACCCGCACGAGGGTCGGAGATAAGCTGACGTGCAGGGCGTAGAATGAATTGCCTTCATTGGGAGCGAACCCTGCATGGGCCGAAAGTCTGGAGAGAGTTTTTAGTCGGGTTGATTGAGGAGTGCGGAGAGCCAACGACTACCGGTTGCTTGCCTGCTTTCTTTCTCTCTCTCTGTCTCCCCCTCCTCTCCATCTATCCATCCGATCAGCTTTGTCATTGGCCCAAGGACAGCATGGCTCATAAATGCATGCAGGAGAACCGTCCACCGTGTCTGGTCAGTCCGCGTGGGATTGCATGATGGGCAACGATGGCATTGACCTGACGATCCGGAGAGAGCCCCGACTTGGTGGCCCTCCGTCTGCTGCTTCCCCGCCTTTTTCCCCTGCAATTCTGCATCCCCATCCATCCTTCTTTTTATTATTCCTTTTGCCTCGTTAGGCTGTACTCATTTCCCCCCTCCCCCTCCTTCTCCCCTCGTCAGCTATTCATCAACAGCAATGCGTAAGGGTCTGCTATTAACTGCCATCCGTGTTCACTGTTTGATAGTCTGACCCGACTGTGGTGAGAGAAGAAGAAGAAGAAGAGATCCGGGTCAATTCTTTCTCGTGGGTTCTTCACCTTCCCCGGACCTGCCCACCGACTTAAAACCAAACCACCTCCCCCAAACTGGTTAGTTGCTAGCCTGTCTTTCACTTAGTTCCTGCTCGGCCTGGTCGCTTCTCCGGCTGACAGTCTCCTCTTCTGCTGCTGCCTTCTAGGTCCCTGTTTTTTAGTCCGTGTTTTAGTTGCCCCGCAGACTGAAATCGGCAATGCCGTGGAGTTGATCGCTTCTTACTTTCCTTGCGACCGCTTCTCTGCTTCCTCGACTTTCCCTCCTGCCTCTGCCCTCCTGGTCGTGAAATCGTCTGCCTCTCGTCCAGGGTCCGTCGCTCCAAGTGCCGCCTTAATTTCCTCTCCCGCTAGCGTAGTGCCCTTTCACGCTTGGGGCCTTACGGCCCTTCCATTCGCCAGCGGTCTGACTACCTCATACCCCGACGACCGGGGTCTTCATGACCCGCTGGGTTGACTGTTCCGCCCGGTGAGGATGTCAACCCCCTCGATTCCTCAATTCCCCAGTCCATTCTCTCCTTTCTCTTCCGGATCGCAGTCGACGGGGATGGCGCCGTCTCAGACTGTCGGGTTGGATACGCTCGCCGAGGGCTCGCAGTACGTCCTGGAACAATTGCAGCTGTCGCGAGACGCTGCGGGAACTGGTGCCGGCGACGGCGCGACCTCCACTTCCTTGCGAAATTCCCTGTCGCATGCGAAAGATCAACCACTTTTCGACGACGAGAGAAACCAGAGCGCTGGTTCCGGTTTCAAGAACACTCTGCAAAGAGATCCCCTCGTGGAGGCTCGCTCTGCCATTCGCAAAAACTCCTCGTCGGCTCCAGTCCGCCGCCGAATCAGCCGTGCGTGTGACCAGTGTAACCAACTCCGAACGAAATGCGACGGGCAGCATCCGTGCGCTCATTGCATTGGTAGGCTTCCGCTCTTTTCTCCGATGCCGGCGACAGGCTGGGCGCTTGACTGACATGCTGCAGAATTTGGATTGACCTGCGAGTATGCGCGAGAACGCAAGAAGCGTGGAAAAGCGTCGAAGAAGGACCTGGCAGCGGCAGCAGCGGCGGCCACCCATGGGTCAAATGGTCATTCAGGGCAGGCCAACGCGTCGCTGATGGCCGAGCGGACGTCTGAAGACAGCCGGCCAGCGCAAGACGTCAACGGCCGATACGACTCGACCTTTGAGAGCCACCATATCAGCTCGCAGCCCTCGCATATGCAGCATGCGAACAATGCAGGTATATCCGGTCTGCATGACTCCCAGACGGCGCCGTCGCAGTCGCAGCCATCGCTAGGAACGACCATCGATGCAATGCATCTAAGCCATTTTAATACGCTGAACGATTCCGGTCGCCCGGCGATGTCCATGTCCGACCTTCGATCGTTACCCCCGTCCGTCTTACCACCTCAAGGCCTGAGTTCCGGGTACAACGCGAGCGCATTCGCTTTAGTCAATCCGCAGGAACCGGGCTCACCAGCTAACCAGTTTCGCTTGGGAAGCTCAGCGGAAAACCCAACCGCACCGTTCCTCGGTCTCTCGCCTCCAGGGCAATCGCCTGGATGGCTCCCTCTTCCTTCGCCATCTCCTGCCAACTTTCCTTCTTTCAGCCTGCATCCGTTTTCCAGCACTTTACGATACCCTGTTTTGCAGCCGGTTCTGCCACATATTGCCTCGATTATCCCGCAGTCACTAGCGTGTGACCTTTTGGATGTTTACTTCCATAGTTCCTCCCCTTCCCATCTGTCTCCGTCGTCCCCATACGTGGTGGGCTACATCTTCCGCAAACAGTCCTTCCTCCACCCGACGAAACCCCGACTATGCAGTTCCGGTCTCCTGGCGAGTATGCTCTGGGTAGCCGCGCAGACCAGTGAAGCCCCGTTCTTGACATCGCCGCCCTCGGCTCGGGGCCGTGTATGTCAGAAACTGCTGGAATTGACGATCGGTTTGCTCCGACCGTTGGTCCATGGCCCTGCTACCGGCGAAGCATCCCCCAACTATGCGGCGAACATGGTTATTAACGGCGTCGCTCTGGGCGGATTCGGAGTCTCCATGGATCAGCTGGGCGCGCAAAGTAGCGCCACCGGTGCCGTGGATGATGTGGCGACCTATGTGCATCTTGCGACGGTGGTGTCCGCCAGCGAGTACAAGGCGGCCAGCATGCGCTGGTGGACTGCGGCGTGGTCTCTAGCGCGCGAGCTGAAGCTAGGCCGTGAGCTGCCACCCAATGTCTCTCACGCACGACAAGATGGAGAGCGAGATGGGGATGGCGAGGCGGATAGGCGGCATCCTCCAACTCTTATTACATCGCTAGGCCACGGACCGGGAAGCTCCGGCATCAATGTCACCGAAGAGGAGCGGGAAGAGCGCCGGCGCCTGTGGTGGCTCTTATATGCGACCGATCGGCACCTGGCGTTGTGCTACAATCGCCCCCTCACGCTGCTGGACAAGGAATGTGGCGGGCTGTTGCAGCCGATGAACGATGATCTGTGGCAGGTCGGCGACTTTGCGGCGGCTGCCTACCGCCAGGTCGGACCACCCGTCGAGTGCACGGGTCACAGCATGTATGGATACTTCCTGCCGCTGATGACGATTCTTGGAGGGATCGTCGATCTGCACCACGCCGAGAACCATCCGCGCTTTGGCCTGGCGTTTCGCAATAGTCCGGAATGGGAGCGTCAGGTCCAGGACGTTACGCGGCAGCTGGACACATACGGGCGCAGCTTGAAAGAGTTCGAGGCTCGCTACACCAGCAACCTGACTCTGGGGACTGCGGATAATGAACCTGCCGTGGAAGGTGCCCATTTGGACCACACGAGTCCTTCAGGCCGTTCCAGTAGCACCGTGGGATCACGGGTGAGCGGGTCCATCATGCACACGAGGATGGTCGTCGCCTACGGGACGCATATCATGCATGTCCTGCATATTCTGCTCGCGGGCAAGTGGGACCCAGTCAACTTGTTGGAAGACCATGATCTGTGGATCTCCTCGGAGTCGTTTGTGTCGGCCATGAGCCACGCGGTCGGTGCGGCGGAAGCAGCAGCAGAAATTTTGGAACATGATCCAGATCTCAGCTTCATGCCGTTCTTCTTCGGGATTTACCTGCTACAAGGCAGCTTCTTGCTGTTACTGGCGGCGGACAAGCTGCAGGGCGACGCCAGTCCAAGTGTTGTGCGGGCATGCGAGACGATCGTGCGGGCGCATGAGGCGTGCGTCGTAACCTTGAACACAGAGTACCAGGTAGGCCTTTTGTTTATTCCCTTATTAATATTGATAACTAACGCTATGTAGCGTACATTCCGCAAGGTCATGCGATCGGCGCTGGCGCAGGTTCGAGGACGCATCCCAGAGGACTTTGGGGAGCAGCAGCAGCGCCGACGCGAGGTGCTTGCGCTATACCGCTGGAGCGGCGACGGCAGTGGGCTAGCACTGTAGTGTCGCGGTGATACAGCTGACGATGAGATGTGATTTATGGCGTGCATTGACCGGTCAATGGCTTACGTTCTACCTGATACTATTGGATTCGCTGTCTACTCCGGGCTTATGCTGGCTTCATTGTCAAGGGGATGGCATGGCGAATGGAAGATATGCTTACTTCGTGTTGATATGGATTCGTACATATACTTGGTGATATATGTGGATATTTGTGGCATGTACACTATGCGTGATGCTGATTTTGATACTGAACTGATACTTTGATACCTGATCAATCTAATTGCTTTTCAATGATTTGTTGTGCAACAGCCGAGGTATGACGCCATGGCTGAGATAAGCTGCCGATAAGCATGCATCGGAGCACCAAAACCTTCATACAAACAATCACTTCAACCACCGCAATGACAACAATACAGTAATCCCCCTAAAAATGACCTCAATAACACGCTCCCTCCGCACCCTTCACCCCTATTCTTCCCTCCGAGCCCCGTCCATTAAATGTACATATAGATATACCCCAAAACGCCACCTCGGCATCCCCCCGGCCTACCTCTTCGACGACTACATCCCCCGCTACCAACTCCTCTCCTCCGTCGATGCCTCCAAAAAGCGTTCCCTGGCCTACGCCCACCTGCAGAACTGCAACCTCTGTCCGCGCCGCTGCGGCGTAAACCGCTTCCACGAGACAGGGATGTGTCTGATCGGCGCCGAAACCGCAAAAGTGAATACCATCGCCCCGCATCGCGGCGAAGAACCCTGCATCCAGGGGTTTCATGGCTCAGGGAGTGTGTTTTTCTCCGGCTGTAATATGCGGTGTGTGTTTTGTCAGAATCATGTAGGCTTCCCCCTTCCCCTTGATATAACTTGAGATTTGTGGGTAGGGTGTGTGGTGTTGATGATGATGATGATAATGGAAATGTATAGGACATAGCACACAAAAAAGCCGGACACGATCTCACGCCCACCGAGCTAGCAGAGTGGTACATGAAGCTCCAAACAGTCGGACACGTACACAACATCAACCTAGTGACGCCCGAACACGTCGTCCCGCAAGTCGTTCTCTCGATCCTCGATGCAAGAGACATGGGATTAAAGATCCCCATCGTGTACAACACATCCAGCTTCGACTCCCTCGACTCACTACATCTCCTAGATGGATTAGTGGATATCTACCTCCCCGACTTCAAAGTCTGGAAGGGAAGTACCGCGAAGCGATTACTTAAAGCGGAGGAGTATGTCGAGACCGCGAAAGAGAGTATCAAGGAGATGCATCGGCAGGTAGGGGATTTGAGTTTCACCTCTGATGGCATTGCGAAGAAGGGGGTGTTGTTGAGACATTTGGTGATGCCGGGGTTGGAGGATGAGGGGAGGGAGATTGTAAGATGGTTGGCGGAGAATGTTTCGAGGGATTTGTATGTGCATGTTATGGAGCAGTATAGGCCTGATGCGTATGTTGGGAGGAGGAAGAGGGGAAGGGGTGCAGATGGAGATGGGGATGGGGAGGTGAGGTATAAGGAGATTAATCGTGCTGTTAGGGAGGAGGAATGGAGTGGGGTGAGGGAGGCGGCGGTGCAGGCTGGGTTGTGGAGGTTTTGTGAGGTTAATGAGATGGGGGGGTTCCATCTTTAGGAGGGTTGATTGATGTTGATCTTGATGTGGAGTATTGTTGTGGTCTATGTATCAGGCTTTCCCCCAAAGTAGTAGGCCGCAGTCCCGAAACTCTGTACTACTAACTGCTACAAGATATATCACCATGATCTCGCTACCAGAACAGATTACCAGCTGAACTTCTCATTATAATGAATGCTGCACCACCAAGCTCTATCCATCCAGCTGAAACACATACTACCAACAGCATCATCAAAATGTCCACCCACCCCTCTAAATCCGTGGGATCACCACTTTTTTAGTACTTCAATTCACTACATGGTGTTGATGTTTATCTTCTTGCTGCTTTCTGACTGGTAAAGACTGGCAGGTTTCCTACTTACATTAACATGACAGGCACCGCCTCTGAGCGAATGTGGGTTAGGTCTGAGGAACTGTGTTTTACTATAATCTCATTCACCTCTCACTTGGAACCCACATTCACTTCTCACCCTCCTTTCTAAGAATGTGTTAGAAGTTTTCGTCTCTTACTTATTCCACTCATTTCCCTCACTCCATCTCTTTCTCTTCCTGCCTCGTCTACCACCTCGTCGCCGCGCTGTCTACTATCTTCTTTGCCACTACCTTTGCTGTTTCGCTTGTCACCAGTCGTCTGCTGCTGCGCTTGCTACGTTGTTGTCGTTTGCTATACCGTTGTCTGATAAGCCTTTATCAACCACAATTTCGTCATCTACTGGTACCGGCCGCCAAGGTAAGTCCCGAAAGCTTAGATTATGCTTATGTCACTGGCAAACTCGCTAATCCTACTTAAGATGCTGTCCCGCTCTATGACAGAGCGAGAGGAGACAGAGTCAACTCCGTTGACAGAAGTGACAGAAATAATGCCAGCTCCATCGACGAGCATGTCCACGTACAATCTTCCCGACTCCGCTTCACTTGCGTTGACAGAATTATACCCCCCCCGAACCTATCGAGGAATCAATGATCTCAATCAAGCCATCATGGCCGTTTGGGACCGGCTGAGACAGCGGGACGCAGACCAATTTCTTTCTTTCAAGCACATATCGCCAAGCTCATTTCTTTACCTGGAGAACAACCGTAATAGGTTGCGTAATCTTGTCCGACTTACCTACTATCCGGATATTGAGACTATGATCGTCAAAGTCCCGCTGCCGCCACACGAGAAGGCGCATCAGTTAATTTCAAGTAAGACATTTTCCATCTTGGATAACATGGGGATCGACTGGGATCAGCAACTGCCCACAGGTTCCGCCACACACACTGCGGCCTCGCGCTCCCAGAAACAAGGCGACTTCTCGTCTAGAAATAGCACTTTGAGACCCAACGAAGATAGTGACTGGCCCAACTGGATCATTGAAGCTGGCCTGTCTGAATCACTCCGTCGGCTGCGTCAAGACATAAATTGGTGGATCGGAAACTCCGGTGGACAAGTCCTCTTGGCCTTGCTAGTTAGAGTTGACCGCGCGGCGAAGAAAATTACGATAGAGAAGTACTTCCCACAGATCAGACAAGGACCCAGCACTCGAGCCCAAACCGCCGGCGTCTATGTGAAGCGACTCGTGACCACTACTGTGATAGACATGAGGACAACTCCCCCTTCTGTCCAAGGCGGCCCATTAGTGCTGGACTTCGATCGTTTGGTCGGTCGTCCGGCTGTTGCCCCTGAAACGAACGTCATTTTCGACAATGCGCGATTGGTTTACATGGGTCGTCTTGTTTTTATGGGGATACCATAAGTTGTTTGGGAGGTGATAAGATAACTGAATATTGCTTCCCTCGCTTTCGGGCCATTCTCATTCATAAGGATGTACATCCCAGTTCTCAGATAGCCTAATGTATTTCCATATTTATCTTGCAAGAAATCTATAACTACAAAGATCACATAAAATACCAGCACTGTCACCCGGAGTTGGGGATCCCCGAACCCAGATGCAAGCCGGTGATGAAGAACCGCAATCGCCCGCCCGTATTGCTCCAGTGCAAAGAGCCGGTTATCCTAATCACCCCTTACTACTTCTGTCCCGGTCACACTCATAGTTGTGGTTTCATGGAATGCCCCTAGCGCTGCGACAGCGTGTCCAACCGCCAGCTCCGTCTGATCACTTTCATTTTTTTTTTTTTTTTTTTTGGCAATGCTGTCACATGATAATGTGCTCCTTCCTATTCTGTAAGGTGGAGCTAATATATCAACGATTCCTCCGCTTCCTCTACCTCTAAAATCAACTAATCACCATTCAAGACCACTTTGGGTAGTAGCTGCAACAACTGCAGCATAGAAGCTTCATCGATTCATCAAATAAGGTACCATCCCCAACAGCAACAATCCAAGATGTCCACCGCGCTCCTGCTGACTGAAGTAACAGAGAGCATACCAGGCCCGCACATCATGTCGTCTTTTTCCATATTGCCTGCTTCGACCACCACCCTGGCAATGTGTGAACTTTACCCGCCTCGTACTTACAGAAGTTTCAATGATTGCAAGACAGAGATCTCGGTCCTCTGGGGTCGCCTGAGAGAGAGAGAGAGAGACGTAAACCACAAGATATCCACAACTTCCGAATCGGCTGAAGAAGGAGACTGGCCCCACTGAACCATTGAATGCGGGTTATTCGAGTCGTTACCGCACCTCCGTGGATTGGTGGATAGGCAACTCAGGGGTGGGGGGAAGGGAGGGCACGTTAACCTGGTTCTGCTTCTGGATATTTCACGGGCCAGAAAAACTATCACCATCGAAAAATACGTTCCCTATGCTCGGCAAGGACCGAGAACGAGAGCACAAGCGGCCGGTGCTGTACACGTTCGTCGGTGCGTTTCCACCATCGTCGTCAATATGAAGGCCAACCCTCCTTCCGTCCAGGGTGCCCCGCTGATTCTGGAGTTCGATACAATTATCGGACGGCCTGCTGTTGGACAAGAGCATGATGTAGTTTTGGATACTGCTGTGCTGCTGGCAATAGCGAGGGGTGTTTTTCGAGGAATGTCATAGCTTGTTTGAGGTTGTGAAAACCGGGGGATTGGGGAATAAGAACGCCAGTTGAGTTAGTAAGGTGAAGGGTATCATTGTCACCATTTCTATGGTCGCTCCGATTCAGCAGACCGATTCACAGATCCTTGGTCAATTGCATCTATGCAATTCAATCAGGGGATATCTCATCGATCAGTATAGGGGACAGTTCCTTGAAGCATACCATTCAAAGGGAATCTTGATAGATATAGGGAATGAATCATCCTGTGAAGTACCCCAGCACTATCATCTCATTAACTCTCTCTACTTATCTATAAAAACTCCGACTGCCACACATCTTTCTCTTTCTCTTCTTCAACTTCCTCCATATGATGCCTTGCAGATCTAAAAAAAAAGCCTTTATCTACTATATCTAGAATATAGCCCGAGTTATATAGACATCACTTAAACGAATATATCAGGACTTTCATCTTGAAGCTCTCATATGCGGCGACGTTAGCCAATGTCATATTATCCATCCAGAATATCCCCATAATACCAGGCAAAGCCCAGTCCCAGAACTAAGAGGTGGAGGAGTTCAGCGATGCCGAAGACGAGGCAGCGCCAAACGCGGCACTTCTAGTCCTTCTTCAACAATTAACGCACATGGTGGAGAGTACCGGTCTCGAATTGATCCTCAACAAGACTCATCTTGTCGCCGACCTTAAAAATGAGCGACAATATAACGCTTATACCGATGATGCGCTGAGAAGGGCCGGTGACTTGGAGCTACCAGAAGAAAAGTTCCGGCATGGTATCAAACATACATCTCCAGAGTGTCGCATGCGAGTCTCAATTACCCGTGATAGCTGAACAAGACGCCATGATATCCTCGCTGAGAATGGGAGAAAGCTAGATGACACAGGTTGTGAATACACAAAACCGAGTAAGACAATCATCGTGTAACTCCTGTCCCTGGACCCTATGTCATCCAGGAGACCGACTATGATCAGATCAAATGGGACATAGCATAGCACAGCACAGGTACTAGGCTACATGGCGATTGACTTGAAAGCCCTTAGCCAATGAAACCCGCGAGCTTGAGGCCCAGGAGGCTATGGTATAGGGTAGGAAATGTGGTGAGGGATGTATCGCCGTGGCGATATGTTGATAAGAAGGAGTGGCATAAACATATGGCTTATTTCTTATTCGATGTTCAAGAATGATATGGGGTTAGATCCTACGGTATCCATCCTCGCATATCAAGGACCACAAGTATACAAACAATCTTTATTTCCCTATGGGCCCGCCTCCCGCGAATCGGCAACAGCTATACAAGCCAATCCGTTGCTTTTAAGCATGCCATAGAACTTCGAACTGACAGAAGGTTCTTAATCATTAAGCCCGTTGTATGTACGTACTTCGCGGAAATCAACACTCTAATCAAAATGACTCAGTGTGGGCCCTTGGGACAACAGCACACATGATTGTCAAGGACAACAAACCGACTGTCGTCTGGGAATATATGCTTCGACCAAAACAAGCGGGAATAGCTAAAACTGTAAATTTGGAGCAGCGGTGCTTCTCATCCGAATCGACTAAAGAAGGAGACACCACGTTCAAGGTCGGCTACTGAGTCGAAGCGACGTCGATCGGTACCACAGGGCGATCGAGACGGGACTATCTGAAGCGGTGATGTATACATTGTGCTTGTTGCCTTTATAGGAGGCAATGCTTCTCAAGACAATAAAATTGACTAAGTACAGAAAGAGGTTGATTCCACATACACAAATGAAGCATTGAGCCTCATTGACCAGCTAGAATGGCCACATTGGGCGATTGAATGCGGGTTATAAGAATCACTCCCTCGATTGTGGGAAGAGAGGATTAGATAGGAAACACGGGGCGCGAGGTCTTTCTAACATGAGTTTGGATTTGGTTAAACGATACTAACAGGACACTCATACTTACAGAAGTCTCAACCATTGCAAGATAGAGATCTCGGCCTTCTGGGCTCGCCTGAGAGAGATATATATATATCAGGTCCCATCATACAAAAAATCCACAACTTCCAAATCGGCTAAAGAAGGAGACTGGCCCCACTGGGCAATAGAATGCGGGCTGTCAGAATCACTCCCTTGATTGTGAGAAGACGGTGGATTGGTAGATAGGCAACTCAGGAGGCGAGGTCTTTCTAGTATGAGTTTGGATCTGGTCGATGATACTGACCAAGGGCACATGTCTGAGACTAAATCTCACTTAAAAGACCCGTTTCACTCATACCTGGCGATTGAGATCGTGATATGCTATGAGCATACGTTTGTCAATGGCCCTGTGCCAGACCGGGCCTTCTTTTTCCTTACCAGTGTTAAGAAGAATAAGATAATACATAAGGCTATACATAATACTGAAGTTGCATTCCGACCTAGTGACTGCTTTCCTTCTCCCAGCATCTCACAGCACCATCCCAGATTCGAGGGACATGATGAATGCCGACAGGCTTTGGTAGCTCTCTCCAACTGGAGGTTCATCCCTATGTTGACCGACGAATCCAACGTAACGTTGTGTTCAAAATTTCTCTCATATTGAGCATATCACCCTAATACCAAAGGACGGAAGTGACGCTCAAAAGAAGCAAGAAGCCGAGTATGACCACGTCCATGCGTGCAACCTGTTCCCTGTGAGCTGGGGGCAGGATCAGGATCATGTTATATGCCGAATATGCGCAAATTCTCTGGAAACCACAGAGCTCCGCTTTTATACCTTTGGTTATAGGCTCGGCCGCGTTTTGAACGAGCAGTGAAAGCACATTAAATGATAAGTTCCAGGAGAGTGCTGTTTATGTTGGCAAGTGGCATCCGAACACTAACAACAAATTTTTACTCTAGACGGGCCAAAGGTCTTCGCGCGAGGTGCGTCCCAAGACGGCGTTATGTGGTGCAACACACATTTCTGAGTATGCCGTCTGCATCCATGAGTGCAGGGAAGAGAACCATGACTATAGAGAGTACTTACTATAGGTGAGCGGTTCAGTTACAAAGGCACGAGCTGAGTATGACGGGATAGTAGGCTTTGTGGCGCCCATCTTCTCAAAAATTGGTGTTGGTTTGGGACTGGCACTCCCTCTGCTGCCCATGGGGGCCCGCTGATTCTCGAGTTTGAGAGACTAATTGGTCGATTGCTGCCTCAGTTGTTTTTAAGAAAATGACTTCTGGTGATTTACAGAGTTTATTGGGATAGACCAGCCTGTTTTCGAAAGCATCTCATGATAGAGCGTCGGATGAGATAGCGTGGTAAGTTGTGAGGAAGGTTTAGTCCAGGTTGATGCATGGGTGTATGTATGCCTTGCTTGTGCCATGGTCAGAACTGATCCTGCAAAATACCTGCGAACATCTACAACATTGCTCAGAAAGAATGGAGCATCCTGATGATCCCGAGTATCATGTTGCATCAGTTGACATTCAGATATAGGAAGATATCTATTCCAAACTGACGCCTACAGAACTTCCACCAGGATAAAGAAAGTCACGGAACAGTCACTGTTATGCAGTCGCAAGTCTGTCAAAACTAGTGTGTTGGGTCAGGGTATTGATCCGCAGAGTGCCATATTCAAAGACTCATTAGATATCTGATGATCCGCCGAATTCAAGTCTCAATCCCAAATGAGAACTTTGGTGTGACCCCCGTTCCGCTACTTCCATCTAATCAGAGGCAGCCCAAGACTTTGTGCCCTTGTGGGTCATGCTCAACAGGAGCTGTATCAGCATTACAATTCTCTGGTGTACTGGACCGTCCCAGCAAATTTATCACACTCTCAATAAAGCCCTAGAACGAGAGCACAAACCGCGGCGGGTGTCGCCATTTATAATACTCGATGGGCGTCTACTATTGTCGACAACATGAAAGCAACCCCATTTCTATTCAAGGCGGGGCCGTTCATATAAAAATTTGACCGACTCTCAGATGACTGCAGCTTGGTTCCTACTAAAAGGATGTCGTTTATTCCTTAGACCTGCGGAATTGCTATATTGACATAGCTGAACCTGTTACCAGAGGAGTGCCATACGAAATAATCAAACGATATAGAGATGAAAGTTTCATTTTCGACGATCCATGAATCAGAAGCAGAAAATTCCTTCCGCCTCAGGGTGACAGGAAGTACACAATCCCGCATCGCGCAGGACACAGTGGGATTTATATACTGTGTTACGCTCGATACTAAACCGCATTATTATAGAAACCACCCATTGCGGGAAGTGTCTGGAGAGGTTCTGTATATGGGTGTATTTAGCTTCTGAATATTTCAGGAATCCCTGGTGTTTAGTCCATTTATACTAAATGAATCGATCCTTGGGCGTGGTCCATAGCATCACTGGGTATATTGACCGGTGGTTCTTGCTAGGCCGTCTTGCGACTATGATATTCAGAAGGATACTAGTCAATGGGAGTGTGACATATTCGAGCAAGTCGTGAGTCGGTCAATCAGGATACCTCAAGGGACATGTAGAAAGAAGAGAAAGGCTAGGATAGAGCCGAGGACCAGAAAGGATGGAAGAAATGTTGTCTGGCACTAGAAGGGAAGACGATATCATCTAGCCCGGTCCAAGGCCCAAGTGGAAGTCCGAGCCGGAGCCAGTTGGCGCATAGGCCTTGGAGGTGCAAGAATGGGTACAGATAAATTTCATGTTCCTGCTATATTCTGTTAGGTATTACAAGGTAGCCTGCGATCTTGCCGCAGCAATAGGAAGGACGGCCCATGAAGTGCGGGAAATCTTTTCTTATTTTCATAGCGAAATTGCAGTCAGCGAAAGTCGCCGGAGATACTAAATATATAGTGACTCGTACCCTGATACTTGTATCTGAATAGGTGAGAACTCGCTGTAAATATATCCTAGTGAATACATGAAAGCCTGGATGATCTAACTCTGGTTATTGAGAGTGAGGTATCAGAATCAAGGCCTTTGGCTGAGTCAATAGAGAATTATATCAATTCATCCATTACAAAAACTCTCTTCCTCATTACCAACTCCCTCGCCTCTGGGTCCGATAACGCGTAGTGTAGCACCGCATGCTTTCCATCTCCAACCTTCTCAAACATCATCGTTCGCACCCTTGCCTTCTCCGGCACATACCCATTAGCATCGGCTGCCTCCCCTTCCAGCTTCGCTATTTCCCGCACCATGTATAAGTATGACATCGAGTCATGCAGTCCTTCACGATGCGGCCATGTGCGGAACAACCTCAACACACGCTCTCGGATACCCACATCGCGGCACTTGATCCCCACCGAAAACAATGGGACGAAGACCCCAATATCAGAGATGACGTTGGGAAGTGGCTGTTGCTTGTGGGCGTATTCCGTTTGAAGACTGGCGACGATCTGCTCTGCTAGGATGACGGCTCGGGTCCATCGTGCTAGGAATCGGTCGTAGACGGTCTCCGTGAGATCCATGAAGGTGGCGATATAGGTACTCATGACGATGTGACTGACGCGGATTGTATCGATAGCTCGAGTTTCCTTGGGTGAGTAGTGTTGGGCTTGGGACATGTATGTCTCAAAGGCGTTGATATGACGTTGTATGTTACTGTATTGCCGTTGTTGCTCGACATAAAGAGGATAATGATCTGCAGAGCGATCTCGAAGCTCTACTTCGCAGCGCGTCCAGAAGCGCACCATGCTATCAATCAACGGGTCCAACGTATCCTTTGCTTCAAGTAGACTGCGAATTTCTATACTGTCGTAATGCACCGTGGAGAGATGCGCATCCAATGGTTGCAATCTCATCACGGAATCCTCGCTGAAATGCGCCGCCTGGACCGTCAACTGCGCAAACATATGCGTGAAAACCGCGTCCTCTTCTCGCTCACTATCATTTTTCGCACCAGCGGGAAGGGATTTGAATATTGCTTCCCTCGCTTTCGGGCCAGTCTCATTCATAAGGATGTATATCCCATTTCTCAGATGCACCAATATGTTTCCATAATTATCTTGCAATAACTCTAGCACCACAAAGATCACACAACACACCAACGCTGTAATCCGTAGCTGGGGATCCCCGGACCCGGATGCAAGACGGCGGCGAAGCACTCCAATCGCGCGCCCGTATTGCTCCAGTGCAAAGAGCCGATAATCGTTATTCATACCAGCTACACCCACAGTCGTAGTTTCGTGGAATGCGCCCAGCGCTGCGACAGCGTGTCCAACTGCCGGCTCCATCTGACTCATCTGTAGCACGAGCCGTTGCCAGAGTTCCGAGTCACATAACCCGGTCAGCATGGGCATCGTATATGTCTGAAATAAGGCGAGACAGCGGCGCTCATCGGCTGTCATACCGGGCAGGTTGGTGGAAATGTAGTTGTGCAGGTGACTAGCGTGTCGAAGGCGCGATTTTATGGGGAGCTGAAACTGCGGGGACCGGTCGCAAGTACGACCTGTCAACGTGCAGTTCTTGCATGATGGTCCTGGTGTCTCGTCGCATTTAATCCGTCGTGCACGACACGTCCGGCACCCTGTTCGAGACCGCGGTGAGTATTTCTTCAAGCCTAGGGTTTTGGAGCCCATCGCGGGGAACACGTTGTAACATGTCCAACTCTGGCACTTGGTAGATGGTTAAACCATTTAAAGAGTGGGAATTCGGGCCGAGCCGATGGGGCGTTCAATTCATTTTCAATTCAATTCATAGCCCTATACCCGATTGAGCCGGTGTAGTTACAGAGTAGATACTAGTTATGCAGGGACTTCACTATTTGAACTAGTACGAATATGGCCCTGAATGCCTTCAAATCATGTCAAACTTACGGTAAACACGTAAACAGTACTTACTATAATATGGGAAGGTTATGCTATAGCTCACTATAATTAGAATTTAAAAATTAAAATATAGTTAAATGATAATATTAATATAAGTTATTATTACAGCCAGCCAGCTGCTTGCAAGTCCATTCTCTATTCCTTATTTATTTCCTTTTTTTATTTAACTTTTTCTACCAACTTGAACAGAATATTTTTTATATTTTATCTTTTTCATGTGATCAGTAGCTAGGACCTCCGGCGTGGCCCGCAAGGCGCCGAAACAGAGTAAAGTATAAAACAAACAGACAACAAACAAACAAACGGAATAGATCACGTGAATTCTGCGGAGAGGTCACGTGGTGAGACATGGGAGATATAATTATTAGGTATATCCATAGTAGGTTTTATTCTACCAAAATTATTACTTTCTATATATTCTGAGTACTGATATTTAGAAAGTATTCATATATAGTTCTTTTGAATTTCCCAGAGTCCCGTGGCTTGCTTCTCCGGCAGCTTCATTCATAGTATTCTCAATGATTTTATTAATAACGAATAATTTACTCTCTGAACTCTGCGGTGTTAACCAGTAACTTGCGGAGCAGGACTTCGGTAATTCCCTCTGGATCAGGACGAATGCCATGTTCTCCGACAGTCATACAGTATCTATTTGCAAGACTCATCTATTTCAATGCTTCACGACTCATATAGCCTCTTGAACCAACTTTCATCACACGCCAACAATTGCTGTGGGGCGCCACACTCCACTATTCGCCCATCTGCCAACACCACCACCCTTTCAAAATCCACGATCGTGTCTAGACGATGGGCGACCTCAATGATTGTACACCCATCAAATTCGTGCCGGATGATCTCCTGCATGCGACGATCCGTCTCGATATCAACACTGCCACAGTAGCCCTCTTGTTAGCCCCCTAATAATGGACCAGAACCCCCTTTCTCTAAAACTACTTACCTCGATGAAACCTCGTCCAACACTACAAGCCTGCTCTTCCGTAGTATGGCCCGCGCCAGGCAGAAAAGCTGCCACTGCCCTTGGCTGAAGAAATCCGTCTTCAAGATGGCTTAATCCGCCCTTGGCCTCAATAACCGACCAGAGCTGACACTTCTCTAGCGCCCCAATGAGAATCGCATCATCCTGGCTGGTCGCCTCCCATGGGTCCAGATTGAAGCGTACAGTTTCCGAATGTACGCAGAACGGCTCCTGGGTGATGATATTCAAGGACTGGCGGAGCTCCGATAGTGGGAGATGTGCCAGGTCTTGCCCGTCGATCTTCTATGATCCCTGCCGATACTCCACTAGATGGAAGAGTGCAGCTAGGAGCGAGGACTTACCACTTCCCGTGCGGCCGCAGACTCCTATCTTCTCGCCAGGCTGGATGTGCAGGTAAATGTCTCGAAGAACAAGTGGCGCAGAACTGCTATAGGCTGCAGCAAAGTTATCAAATTCCACTGCTCCATACCGGGGCCCCGCAGTCAGCGGCGAGTTGACCTCACTGTCCTTCTCTTCGGATTCAGTCTCCTCGATGAAATCACGAACCCGTGCCAGAGCACTGAGGGACGTTTCTGTCAAACTCCAAACAAGGACTAATTCGGATAGGTTCTCGTTGAAGCTCATGATATTCAACAGGCCCAGGCCCACGATTGCGGGGTGTACGGTATCGCGAAGCATGGCGATCGTACTGATGAGCACGGTGCCGAGCGCGGCAACCAAGAGATTCAACACAAGGCCAAGCCAGGCTTGCACAGCTTTGAGCAGGTACATCGGTCGTTGACTGTTGTCAAGGAGTATCGCGTTGCGGGCTCGGAAAGCTCCCGTCCAGCCGAAGGCGCGAATATTAGCTAGACCGGCAATGGTTTCTTGGAAGTGGGTGTATAAAGGTGCTTGTTGCTCTAGACGGAGAGTACGGAGCTGAAGGGAGGTCTGGACATAAATCGCTGAATACCAATGAGAGCCATCATGACCAGGGGAATAGTAACCAGTAGGTATGTAGCGGAGGCCACAATCATACACGTGCCGATAGTAAATATTGCCAGCTGTAACATCATCCCAATCAATACACCAGGAAGCTCATTGTCAATAACACTGAGATCCTGTGTAAAGCGGTTCAGCACGGTTCCGGAGTCTGTTGAGGTAAAGAATGATATGGTGCCAGCAACACTGCGTGCAGAAGTTTTTGATGAAGACCGTTCGATACTCGGGGAATGACACGAAGGAATAAGCCCCAGACCAGGAGGGTGAGAGACACCAGTGAGACGACAGCTGCCAGCCCGAGGCAGCCCAGAAACGACGAAGTAGATACGATGGTAGAATTGTTGCTTGGGCTGCTGAAAGTGTTCAAGAGCAACCCCGGTGTCTTGATCGCGGTGACGTACACCAGGCTCCATAGACAGCAGAGCCCCATCCACGACCAACTGGCCGCAGCAAAATAGTCAGTGATCGTCTTCCAGTCCCCATGCTTTGGTGCTGGTGATTCTGTCACTGTTGGCGCTTCTTCCATTTCCGACTCCTCTTCTCCCACTGCGTTTGCTTCCACCACTGCCGGCTGCTTGACTGCCACATCATCGTGTTCAGCATGTGATCGCGCGTCATGGTCATTATCCATAATGCGCTTAAAATTTACATTGAGACCGGCCGCATATCCTGTGCTCTTGTGAATCAAAGTCTCACAAGTGCCCTGTTCGGCGATTGTTCCATCCTTCGACAACACAACCACCCAGTCTGCCAGGGGAAGTCGGGAGACGGCATGGGTCACCAGGATAATGCTGGTTGCCCTCCTTCGCACTGGGCCAGACACAGAGAAAAGTCGACGAAAGATATGCTCTTCGGTATCTGCATCCACTCCACTGAATACATCATCAAGAACAAGTAGCTCCTTCTGTGCAAACGCCGCCCGAGCAAGTGTAAGACGAAGTCTCTGCCCCCCGCTGAGCGCGATCCCGTTCGATCCAATCTTAGTCCCATCCTTTTCAGGTAGGCTGTTCACGTCTTCCAGCAAGCCGCAGCAGTCAATGACCTCGTGGTACAGGAGGGCATCTTCAGGGGATTGACCGCATATGCTAGCCTTAATCGTATCATTGACGGTTCATGGGGTCTGATCCGCAAACCCTATCGAGGAAGTCGATGAAACTATTCCAGATGACCAGGAAGTCTCTCCAAGGATTCCCTTAAGCAGGGTGCTCTTTCCGCACCCAGTCGGGCCAACTACCATGACCAGCGATCCCCGTGGGATGCGGAGATGCAGGTTGCGAAGCACCGGGCTGTCCTCTGCCCATCCGAATGATGCATTTTCTAGGACTACCGTATCATTAGTTCCTTCAAACGTCGCCGTTGTAGTAGTGCTTGGCGCTAATTGTCGGTATTCCCGTCGTGAAGGCGACCGAAGAAATGCATCGATGCGGTCAAAACTGCCCAGCGCGCCGGCTAGATGAGGCAGCGTTTGAACCAATGTCATCAACGGGGGCTCCAAAAGCTGTAGGAGTGAGAGGATGGAGAATGCGACAGGAACATTCAGTGTCTTGCCAATGGACTGACCCCAGCCAAGGTAAAGTGCGAAGGTGGTCAGCGGCGCGGCGATGCTTGTGACGTTTTGAAAGACTACCTGCACCACTGTAATCCATCGGATTTTGCGGGCCACGACATTTTCATGTACCCTTAACCCCTGGAGAAGGCTTCCAATAACGGCTGAGAGTCCCAGAAGTTTTAGACTGCGGATGGACCCGAGCATAGTCGAGGTTATTGAAGTCCGTTCTTGAATAGCCTCCACCCAGGCGTTTTGATACCGTGGATACAGCCGCGTACAGGCTGCCATGGCCACGACGGCGCACGCAAAGCAGAGTCCCGGAGCCAGAAAGCCCACACCTAGCTGGGCGTACAGCAGGTACAGGGCCACCGCTACCTCTATAACCGCCGTCCAGGCGTGGTGCACGTCTGCACAGGACATGGTGATACGGTCGATGTCGGTGGACATGAGCGTCAAAGCAGCCTTCTCCTCCACGGCAGTTATGCTCAAGTCAACGCTCTTGTTATAGATAAGGGAGACCAATCCCCCTCGAATGCAGACAACCATCCGATTCATCTGGTGCTTGGAGGTGGCCCCGAGTAGGGCGATTCCGGTGTAGATGAGGGCATAGGTCCCTATCAGGCGCCACGCAGGCCACTTTTGGCTTTCGACCGGGTCCATTACCAACCTCGTCGTATCCTGGATGAGATATGGCTGAGTGAATTTGACTCCGATTAAAAGTAACTGAGGAAGGCCGGAGGCCAAAATATGGTATTTCAGAACCCTCGTGACCGCTCTCAGTAAATGACGGGAACGCCTCCTTTCGGCCTCAAAACGATCCCCGAGGCGTTGGGAGGAGAGAGTGACATCTAGAGGATACAGATCGTTAACTCCAAGCTGAGTGAAGAATCCCTTCCATAAGAGAGGATTGATCCACCACAGCAACAGCGTGCTGTACGGACCAGCAGTGTCGGAGGGGCTGCAATCCCAATAGGTAGCGACCAAGATACCTCTTTTTGGCAGGGCTTCGAGGAGAATCACTGCGACCTTGTTGAGCACAAGCATGGCAGTGATGGTGTAAGGTACGCTTTGCTGGCCCTGATATCCCAGACGTTGACACTGGGCCATATCCAAACAAAGGCTTGCGATAACATAGAGTGGCACAAGGGTTGACGGTGCCACTGATCGAATATGCTCACACATTGAAAGGATCAGCAGCACGATGGCCGTCAGGAACCCACAAATTGCGACCACAGTCGAAAGGCCGGTCGCGGGATCGATGAAAGGGAAAAGCAAGAGCGTGAAGTGGAACGTCACAGTCGTCGTCAAGAAGAAATATTTGCATTGCTGTTGAAGAGATGGTTCCACTTTGATGGATTCCTGCGCAAGAAAGGCAATTCTGACACCCGCTGTCACCAAGAAGATGAAGCCGAGGATAATTGCAATTGTATCCTCTCTTCCTTGTAACCAGTGATGCGACACGTCGTTATCCATGTTTGTTGTGTTAACCAGAGGATGGCTGTATCTGCTGCAGTCTCATCGTAGTAACATCACTGTCTAAGGAGAAGAGGTGAAAGTCCATGCCAGGCAGCTATTTTGATTGCGGCCTTTTTTTCGTTTTCTCTTCGAGGGGTGGTTATGCAATTAACACCATAAGCACGGAATTGAGGTTTGCCTAGCGTCAACGCCAACAACAAGGCGATACATCCAGGCAGCGTCAATCCTGGCTTAATTACAAAGCCATGCAGGGGTTCTGAAGCTTACGGGGCGCTGACGGGGGAATTTACTGATAAGCAAACCAAAGGATACACCAATTCGAGTGAAATCTATTAGGCAGTTAAATACAATTGCAATCTGCGAAGCCTGGCCTTGGCTAAATCGAGTATCTCATCGTCCTGGCACACCGCAAAGCGAAGATAGTTCTCTCCCAAGCATGGGTGCTCCGGGCTGTAGAATTCATTCGCAGGAATGGCCGCCACACCCAGTTCCATGATTAAGAACCGTGCCAGCAGGAAATCCCTTCTGCGGTCACGGATATGTGGTGGAATCCTATACACCCTAGGAATCTGGACTTTGGCCAAATTAACGAGGATAAAATAGCCGCCTTCCGGGATTGTATAGGGAAGATCCAATTTCTGAAAGACCTGACAAAGCCTAATCATTTTCTCTCGAAGCAACGTGCGCGTCTGCGACCAAAAGCCGTTATATAGGCTTTGCTCATACGCAGCCGCAGCTGCTTCCTGTAAAGGGCCTGGTGTGCAGTTGCAATGGCATCAATCAACCGAGCAGGGACAATAAGTTAGCCCACCCTCCAGCCAGTACAAAAGATATGCTTTCCTACAGACCCAATGCTGATAGTTCGTTGCTGCACATCGGGGCCTAAGATTGCAACTCGTGTAAAAGGCACGTAGCTGAGCCGGTCATATACCTCGTCGCTGAGTAAAAGCAGGTTATGTCGAACGCAAATGTCACTGATGTGCCGCAGCTCCTCGCGTGGAAACACCTTTCCTGTAGGGTTATTCGGGGTGTTTATCACAATCATCTTGGTGCGTGAGGTGACTGACTGTTCCGTCTCGACAGAATTGATGGTTCACTCAGAGGACGAGCAGATTGCAATGTCTGCCTTCGCAGGAGGTCGCAGAGGAACGCATCGAATGACGCCCCCAGCGATATAAATGTCATCCAAATATCTACGGCAAGGAGCGACGAGCGCAAGCGGGGCGTGTAAGTATCACATAGATAGTAGGCCGTCCGAGAACGAGGGCGATGGGGCGCCAACTTACTGGTCAAAGTAGGGCTCAAAAAGCATAACTTCATCACCCGGATTCAGAAACGCCATCCATACACTAAGCATTCCTATGTCATATTAATCACAATCGACAGGAAACATAACATTCCGATGCTTCGAGGGGTAGTTTCACAAATAGCCCTGACTGAGGTTTACGCATGGCTTGATGCGGGAGGCCTCGGCACCTTCGTTGATAACGGACCATACATCCTGCTTGCTTGCCCCCCCATCGTTTTGCCAGCCGAAAGTCAATGGCCGGGCAGTCGTTCTGCTTGGCGGCTGAGAAGTCGTCACCCGCATTATCTGTCTTCATGCCGCTGCAATAAGGAAGAAACAAGCAGTGGCTCGGCTGGGGTGTCCTTCGTGAAGGTATTAGCCCCCGATTTCCCTATGCCCTTTATCTACGCCTGTTGAGGCGCCCTTCGACCCACCTTTAGAGAAATAGGGACGTCGATAAGGACCGGATGACCTCAATTGCGAGAAGCAAGTCAAGCATATCTGTATGATACGCAGAGTAATAATGTAATATATGTGTCTCTACAACTAGTCGTAACCTGTTTTGAGTTTGAAAAAGACGACTGCGAATGTAATACACTAGATTCTTCTCGTTGGTTTTGTCACTGCTCGTACCAGTACCGGTTCATCTTAGTTGCATTAGTGCGTGAATGGCAGGAATCTCAGCTACCAAGCTGCAAACAACCCTGTGATTGATTGCAACCACGGACCAGTCAGCCCTCAGAAAAGCGATCTACCGATCATTCCACTCATTGTCAAACCTTGGACCCGCACGAGGCAGGAACGCTCCCCGCTGCCCCTCCTCCGCGTCATCATTGGCGTCTTCGTCCTCCAGCGCAGCGTGCGTGATCCGCTGCTGACTGCGTGCCTGTCTGCCAAATTGCATTGTCATCCAGCTCGGTCGCTGACGCAGGGCCTGATATAATGCAACCTGTAGCTGCCTTAGTAAGGAATCACCTATAACGAAGCACATACACAGACCTTCATGAGTAGGGTCAAGATAGCAGCTGCAAAAACCATCCATGAAGCACTCTGCTGCTGCTGTCTCCACGGGACCAGACAGCTTGTCCCGTAATTGAATTGTACCTCACAAGCATCATCCCCGGTGGTCTTGTCCTTGAACGGCCATGCTCGGTCATGGATACTCCGAAATCCGCAGCAGCGGAATTCGTCCTGAATAGCACGGATCGGTTGAGCATCTTTCGCGCGGAAGTATGACTGCCATTCCTGCTCCAGTCGGCAGGTTGTGACGCTCTCTGGGTATAGATAGGCGAGGGCCACGGTGGCGATGACTGTGGTTATGATGGATTGGAGGTGGTTGATGACGGGGAAGAGTCTTCGCCAAGGGCTAGATGACTGGCGGTTGTCTGCTGCTGCAGGTTGGGCTAGTTGATTGGCAAGATACAGCGCCAGTGCTGTAAGAGGAGGCAAGAGGGTGGCGATGGCTGGAACCCAATCAGGAAGGGGAAGGTAAAGTGAAGCTGTACGAGACCAGGACAGCCTAATAAGATGAATGAGCTCGGTCCTCGACGTATACCTCTATGGCAAGAGTGAGAAAGCCACTTACGCTCCAAGAATGATAGCGATAATTGCAAACTATCAGATGAAACGATGACTTGTCAGTGGGTTTTCTAGAAGGTAGTGGACTTGCTCATACCGCTGCTGCTACTGTGGAAGCCACCGTGGGGAATCCGTAGACAATAGCCATGTTAATTTTGATGCTAGACGAAGACAGTGATGGATTATGAAGTAGAAAGCTTTCCCTAGCTGTAGACTACTGAAAGAGAAGAGAGAACAAGCTGTTGGGAGAGTGGGACTGAAGGGGATGGAGCTGGCCAGGCGGGGTCGGCGCTTGCATCTGCGCGCACATGTGTCAGGCAGAAGCCATGGTTAACTAAGCAATGCTTCCATGGTCTTGATGTCTCCATCAAGCAAGCTTACTACCAAACTGAGAAGGACAGGAGCTTAACCTTGGTGTAAGTTCAGTGAACATTCCTTTCATAATGAGCAAATGAGCTAATCTAGGGGGATGTATGAATGGCGGTATATTTATGGGGTAAATCAGCTAGAATCAATCCATCGATCTATTGGGGGCTCCACTGCCACTGAGATTGGAACGGAACAATTTATACAGCTCAAAGGCGAAAAGGAAGATGCCATTGAAATAATTTCAATATTGGATTTGCCTTCTGTTTCCATCCATGTGCATACAGTCATCCAGCTTTGTGTTTGCCGATCACCAACACCAACCCGCGGATGGTCACCTGGTCCCCATCGGAGCTACCCGCGCTAAAAGATCAAGCTAAGATACGCGATGCTCTTCTTCTCCCCGATCTCTTTTTCTGCCAAACTTTCTCCTGCTTTTCCTTGGTGTCGCTACCTGCCTTCACCATGAAACCATACATCGGTATCCCAGCGGTGATAGTGCTTGTTCATCGTGCCTGGTCGCGAAAGTCGCTGACCACTCCCGGCCTCATTGCGGCTGCGCTGACAGCCAGCGCCCATGCTCTTCATCCGTGGTCCGCTCCTTTTGTCTTGTTAGGAGTATTCTACTTTGGGGGCACCAAAGTTACCAAGGTATTTTCCTTGCTCACATCATCGATCCGCAGTTTTTAACTGTTGATCACACGTACTTTCCAGGTTAAACACGATGTTAAAGCTCGTTTGACGCTCTCCGCGACCGGCTCCGAGGGCGGCGAGGGTCAGCGTACCCACATCCAAGTCCTGGCCAACTCTGTTGTCGCGACAGTGCTTGCTCTCCTACATACATATGTTCTTGCAGGACAACCTGCAAGCGCAACACAGTGCTTTTCGAATGGTCATAATGTGGCGGATTTGTTGGTTGTGGGAATAGTCGCGTAAGGCCTGTCCCTATTCCTAACCTTTCTTATGCGCGTACTAACAGGTCATCGTGGTAGGAACTATGCCGCAGTCGCCGCTGATACATACTCCTCCGAGCTTGGTATCCTATCCAAGTCCAAACCCCGCCTGATCACCTCCCCCACCTTCCGCGTCGTTCCTCCCGGTACCAATGGCGGTGTAACTGGAACCGGACTCCTAGCAGGAGTGCTGGGTGCTTTTACAATTGCTGTGTCGTCCGCTGCTATCCTACCTTTCTGCGCCGAAGCCGATACCCTGTCGATGCTCAAGAGCCGGGCCCAGTGGATCTTGGCCGTGACAATGTGGGGAGGTTTGGGCAGTGTGCTGGATAGTGTCTTGGGTGGATTGCTGCAGGCTAGCGTGGTCGACAAGAGAACAGGAAAGGTTGTCGAAGGAGCTGGTGGTCAGAAGGTCAGTACATGCTTAGCATCTACCGGATTGTTAGCAGAGGATAGTACTGATATTATCTTGCAGGTCCTTGTTCACCCCTCTTCTACTAAGCCCGGTGTCCCAGCTGATACCACCGGTCTGAAGCCTGCTGGGTCAAGCTCGAGTGCGCAGGTACACGCCACCGAGGCAGTAGCTAACACCGCCACTCTGAAAGGAACCAGGGCTACTGGAACATCGACGGGAACATCCGCAGGAGAAACTGAATCGGGACACGAAAGCCGGCGGGTAGAAAGTGGACGGGACCTCTTAGATAACAACGCCGTCAATCTTCTAATGGCCTTTACGATGAGTGTTGGGGCTATGGGCGCTGCAAGCTGGGCTTGGGGTCTGAACATTGCTGACTTGGCTTTGTGGTAGCTATTGAAGGTTTGAGGCGTATCTACGATCGCAATGCTATGAAATGATTTTTATGACTTTAACTGAGTTGAACTATATCAAATAATGGGTATATGTGAAAGGTAGGAAGGAAGAGAAGGAGATATGCATGTGACACTCACTAGTCGGGCAGGTGCAGAAAACGGTATGAAAGAAGCCTTATATATAAACAATATGAAAGACCATTACTCCAACAGTGTCCCACATCCTCACCAAACCGGATGTTCCCTTGCCAAAAGGCAGACCAGCACGCAGCGGGTTAGCGCTGATCATACTTCTCTTGGATGACGGTTTCGTACCGTCGTCTCTCCCTCTCCAGATAAGTCAACGTGACGCTCTGGTCCCTGTGATAGTCAATGAAATCCTCCCATTGTTCTTGTGGTACAATAACCTCATAAGGCTGTTCAGAGAAAATATCTGTCGGCCGAAATCTTGTTGCCATACCTTTGGGGTGCATCTCAAAAGTGAAAACCTTTTGCTTCCCACCAAGTTTGAGTCCACTGGAATCCTCCGGTTGCCTCTCTAGCAGGGACTTGGGGCGGGCTATTCGCCGCCGATGCATGGGCTGTGGGATGGTATCTTGCGACAACAAGTGAAGGCTATCCTCCCATCTTCGTTTCGAGTCTCGGTTGTCTGGCACTTCAATAACCGCTTGCATCTTCTGTGGTTGCATTGCACGTCTTTGAGCGTCCTCCAGCAAGCGCTGTCGCTCTTGGTCGCTCAATCCTGGCTGACAGAGTGGCAGGTAAAACGCCATTGTGCTAGCCTCGGGTTGCTTGGTGATCCATAACTGGCATTCGCTGAATAATTCGTACGCCTTATCATATTTTCCTTGGGCAAACTTCACCCGAGCCTGCCAGTACCTGCACCGTGCGAGCACTGGTTTGTCGTCATACTTTTCTGCCAAATCCCGAGCCTTCTGGGCCTCGGAATCAGCCTCCCGGGGTTGGCCTTTTCCAAGGTAGAGCTCTACGCTTCGAAGAGCGGACCTGATATTGCTCATGTCGACGACCATATCACAGTAGGATATGAGATTGTCGATTGATTCGCCACCTGGCTTGTCTTTGAGTGCTGGCTTGGCGTACTTCTCTTTGTGTGAGTACTTCTTATATGGTAACCCGGGAGATGGAGGTGGCGGTGGGTAGTCAACGTGTGCGCCCTGGCTGTCAGGATCAGGGAGTTGAATCTGTAACGAGGCATGCTCTCCCTCATCTGCACCGTCGCTGTCATTCCCGCTGAATAAATTATCAGCCTGGGTTCGCCATAAAGAGTCCTCGTCATCGTTTGAAAATTGGTCAGTGGAGCTTTGATCATACGAAGCACCCTCGTTGTAATTTGCTTCCATGAGTATATGCAATGCCTCGTCTTCGCCGGCGTCCATATCTGAATGTGCGTACTCGTCGTCGCTGTCTGCTCTGATGTTCAAGGCGGCGTCTCGCATTTGCGAGTAATTGCGCCTGCTTGGTGACATATTGTGGCATGTTAAAAGTGGTGCTCAACTTATTGAACTTCAAACACAGGGTCCTGGGTTGTCATTGCCTATTTATATCCTTAACAATTTCAAGAAGAGGTGTATGCCCACTACTAGTCTACGGTATTTCACTACTGAAAAGTATATCGACAACCATTCCATTAGAGATTGTTTCACAGGACTTGCTAAATGCGTTGGAGACAAGTTGGTTAAAACTTGTGCTCTTTGGTGACCAACGGAGATATCCCGAAGTACCACCGATGCTCGTATATATATTGCTTTTGGCCGCCACTATACATCCATCTGATCATATACTATTTGGGGTGTCTTTTGTTATCCTTTGCTCAACCGGCGGAATCCCTCTGCTGATCTTGTCTCGGCAGCTGATCAACCCTAATCGTAATGAATAAGCAGCTACACTACTGTGCCTGAGAGGGTTCGTCCGTCACTGATCGGACTCACGCGGATATGCTGAGTAACTTTTATGACTGCTACCGTAGTGCTGATGAATCTTCGTTGTTTGTTTCTGACCCTAGCTCAACACTGATCTGACTCAAGTACTAGTCAATACGAGCTCCACTGAGGCATATTCCATGCGATACGGATTGAAGGGGGGATGTGTCCAATGCCAATTAGACAAGCCTGATGGATGTATAAAATGGTGGTTGGGAAATGCCGTCCCGTGATGACAAACTGCCTCAAACAGGCAACAGCAGTAAACCAAACTAGACAAACTGAGGTGGGGTATCCAAACAGCACAAACAGTACCCAACACGGTAATCCCCGCTCCAAAAGTAAGTCATGCAAACCAATGCAATCAATGCAAACTCAACGTCATGCTCGTGTCGGCGCTTCCTTCTGGCCCTCGGCGGTTGGACCTCTTTTCCGCATGCGTCACTGGCCTGCGGTGCTTCATCCATTGGATCGCTGTGACACCTGGTCGTTCCTTGGAAAGTAACCCGGATGGTGGGTTCCCAAGCCATCCCACCGGAATGTGTACCCTGCCCAGTATGGTCTGATTGACGTGCAGGCCGGCCTCAACGGTATTTTCCGGTCTGCGGTGGGACAAATCGCCCTGAGCTTACACAATGCGGAGGGTGTCCAGACCATCTCGATGACCCAGTCAGTCATGGTGGGCTGTTTGCAAGGGCCCGCTTCCCTCGATAGTGCAGGAACAGCTGCCCCTGATATTCTTGAGAGAGGTGGGACGCGCAGCGTGATACTGGTCTCTCTGATACACCCCACGCCAACTTCGAGTCTGACCTGTCGAGCTATTTATCCAGTGGTGGATCTACTCGTAGATGATCAATCTTGCATACCCTCGCTGCAAGGACTGGACGCTTCTCCTCATCTACCCCTCATTAGCCCCCCCCCGATACCATCCGCGGTTTGCGCGCGCATACAATAATATAAGCTCTGTGGCTTACCCTTGAACTTGTACTTTTTTTTCCTGGAGTGGCTTGTATAGCTGTTGCTTTTCTATTTGCTTTATTGTTGCTAGAGTTCCGTGCTCACCAAAAATGTCACCCTTATGTCCGGTCGTCAAAGGCGTTGACATCGTCGATATCCGTCAGAATGACGTGAAGTTTTCCTTGGTAAATGATATCCAGCGAGGTATAGATCCTCCGGCAGGAACTTGCCGTTCCATGCCCACGATGCTTCTGTACGATGCTCAGGGGCTTAAGCTGTTCGAGGACATTACGTACCTGGAGGAATACTATCTCACAAACGCGGAGATTGACGTTCTACGGACACATGCGAAGAGGATCGTTGAACGCATCCCGGATAATGCGCAATTACTGGAGCTAGGTAGTGGGTGCGTCTTCCTTCCGCTCGGAGCATGTATAGAGTCTAGGGTGCAGATACGGGATCCTAACATGTAGTAGCAATCTGCGCAAGATTGAGATTCTTCTCCAGGAATTCGAAGCGGCGAGCAAAAGAGTGGACTACTATGCGTTGGATCTGTCGCTCTCGGAGTTGGAGCGCACATTCTCGGAAGTGTCCCTCGATCAGTATCAATATGTCGAGCTCCATGGCCTCCATGGCACGTACGACGACGCCCTTACCTGGCTGGAAAACCCCGCGAATCGAAAGGTCCCAACGGTAATCATGTCAATGGGTTCGTCAATAGGAAATTTCGATCGTCCTGCGGCGGCGAAATTCTTGTCGCAATTTGCCAGGCTCCTGGGGCCGTCGGACTTGATGGTGCTTGGGTTGGATAGCTGCACCGACTCGGATAAGGTGTACAAGGCATACAATGATTCCAAGGGTATCACGCGGCAGTTCTACGAGAACGGTTTGTTGCATGCGAACACTGTGCTTGGATACAAAGCATTCAAGCTCGATGAATGGGACATCGTGACGGAGTACGATAATGTCGAAGGGCGGCACCAGGCATTTTACGCGCCAAAGCGGGACGTGACTATAAACGGGGTGCTGCTCCAGAAAGGCGAGAAGCTGATTATCGAGGAGGCATTCAAATATGCCCCCGAGCAGTGCGATCAGCTATGGCATGATGCGGGTTTAATTGAGGACGCTGAGTTTGGCAATGAGTCTGGGGATTACCGTATGTCATCCTTTGGCAATGTGCTATGACTGCTCATGTTGCACTGCATTGTGCACAGCATGTTACACTGTTGAGACCGTTATACTAACATTAATCTGTTGGGCAGTTATCCACGTGCTGTCCTCGGCTACCCTCAACTTCCCAACGAGCCCGTCACAATATGCGGCTCAATCTGTGCCGAGCTTTGAGGAGTTCCAGTCTCTGTGGACGGCATGGGATATTGTCACCAAGGCCATGGTTCCCAGAGAGGAACTTCTTTCGAAGCCAATCAAATTGCGAAATGCTTTGATTTTCTATCTTGGGCATATTCCTACTTTTCTCGGTCAGTATTTTTTTGCCTATCAGGAACCAGGCGTAACAGACATGTTGACAAGAGTAGATGTTCATTTGACCCGAGCATTGGGCGAAAAGCCAACACACCCCAAGTCATACCGACTCATCTTCGAACGCGGAATCGATCCCGATGTGGATGACCCTGAAAAGTGCCATTCTCACAGCGAGATTCCGGATGAATGGCCTCCCCTTGGAGACATCTTAGACTATCAAGTGCGGGTTCGAAGTAGGGTGAGGTCCATTTTTGAGAAGCATAATGTGGCTGATAATCGAGTGCTCGGCGAAGCACTCTGGATCGGGTTTGAGCATGAAGCCATGCATTTGGAAACGTTCCTTTACATGCTTATCCAGAGCGAAAGAACACTTTCGCCTCCAGCTGTTCCGCAACCGGATTTTGAGAAGCAATTCCGCGATGCACGGCAAGAGGCAAGACCGAACGAGTGGTTCTCGATTCCAGAGCAGACGCTTTTGGTTGGTCTAGACGATGATGGTCATTCGGTCCCTCGTGACTCTTTTGGATGGGATAACGAAAAGCCCCAGAGAAAGATAACAGTCAAAGCATTCGAAGCACAAGCGCGACCCATTACAAATGGAGAGTACGCCAAGTATCTACAGGCAAATCATCTGCCTCAGAAACCAGAGTCCTGGGTCTTGGTTAAGTCTGATCAGACATACCCGACTTGCAATGGTGTCAGTCAAAGCAGCAGTCATGCTACGAACGACTTTATGGCACACTTTGCCGTTCGCACCGTGTTTGGCTCCGTCCCGCTCGAGCTCGCCCAGG